CTTGCCTGGTTTAGTTCAATGCCCGGCTCGGGGGGGGGGGGGGAGCCTACATGCAGGAAGATTCTTTATACAGCTAGACTTTTATACTTACGTGAGAGAAGTTAAATATATTCATTGTAAAGAAAATAAATTTTGTTTAACCTTTCTAACACTATCAGGGAGAGAAGACAGTCTTAGTATTCTGTTAGTGGATTACTGTATAGCTACAGAGTAAGTCCTGTCAAAAAGTCAAGGATTGTGGCAATCTAGTGTTATTCTTACTAAGAGTTACATGGAATCAAGATGTAAAGCCTACTTTAAGACCCTGGCTGGTTGAATGTTTTTGAGAAAGCTAAATTTCTTCCTGCCACTGCATGAACTCACTCTTAAAACTCAGTTCCCTCATTCCCAGGCCCCCTAAGACGATACGTTACAGCAAAAGCAAGACAGCACCCCCAAGCCCAGAAAGACGTGGCCCAAGTTTTGGGAAACTGTGACATATTGCACTGGCTTCAGACAGCTACATCACAGCAGCTTCGCGCAAGGCCAGCTCCTATTCCGGAGCCCTGCACCAAAGCACTCGGCTTCTTTTTACATGAGTTTGTCGTGCTATTAGGAAAGGACATTGGCAGGCTATTTCCATACAGGAATAAAAGGCATGTGGGCCAGTGAAGCGTTCCATTTTACTATGTCACTGCTCACCGAGTTAAGATTTCAAGAAGGCAAGGAGTATCTGACAGTGTGCTGGTTTAAGCTGGAGCTTAGCCACAGCATGTTCCTGGAACTGAAGAGCACTGGTGTAAACACAGACTTGTCACAAAATGTGACATTCCGGTCTGGTAGGAATACATCGGAGCAACTTCATACATCACCATGGCATGCACCAATGCCTAAAGCCATCTGTCTTTGTAAGATAGTAACCTCCGTATCGAGGTGACTTCTCTGGTTCTGTTGTTAGCGTGTACCAGCAAGACATACTTTATTTAAAGCATGCCATAGTTACTATATGAAGCCTGTTACTGTATGAAACTCATTAACTTGGATATGTTTTTAATGTTGCTATTCAAGTGGCATTAACATAAGGAAGTATGGAGGCTTACTAGGAATGGAATTCCACAGGAACCCGTGAATCCCTCTCACAGTACATTAAAATACAAAAACAGAAGTGCTACAGGTTAGCCTTACTCCATGTCAACAAAGAATCCTGTGCAGAGGTGTCTCTTAGAACATTAAAGCAAGCCAAACAATTAGCAAGTTCACGAATCCAAAGATTCTTTTTTCCTTACTGTAAGGGCAACCATTGGTTCATCTGGGCAGTATTTTACGGCAGCTTACAGGCTCAAGATGCTCCACAGGGAAGGTATGAAGCTACTTCACATTTGTGACGCGCCAGCTTCATCGCTCGACGTGGGTGCCAATAACTTCAAGAAGCAAAACATTACTTAAAATGACTAGTCAATACATGGATAAGTTAGATTAAGTGTAATGAATTTACTTTTTGATCTACCCAAATCCTACTATATGCACAAAAGCCATGTGGCCTAACAATGAGTGTGTAGGCCTAAAAATTTTTTTCAAAATCAGTGCCATTAATTTGAAAGAAGTTTATTTTTACAGTGCATAGATCCTCTTACCTCTAAACACCATAACCAAAAGTTAAAAAAATTAAAAATAAAAAACTTGTACTCGGTAAAAGATCCTTATATTCAGAATCTTTCTACATGTCCCTGAAAGTCAAGAAAATCATGTGTCAGGTATTTCATTATTCAGCTTTTCAAACATTTTATCCAGGGGCCATAGTCTACACATCTAGCAAGTTTGTAGATCGGCGCTCCATGGCAATGGTAAGCAGGATAATTTTCCTCAATACAACAGATTAAAAGCTGAAGTCAGCTATTTTTCTTACACGTCCACAGTTATTACTATTCCAATTAAGTTACGGAGAGCTTGACCTGTTTTCACACGTTGGCGTAATTTCTCATCGGCTTCTGCGGGTCAGAGGCACAAGCTCCTAGAAGTGATTACACCAGGATTGCAAAAGCCCTGCGGGGAGCAGCACCCCAAGTGACGACTCTTCGTCCTACCGCAAGGTACACGGATGGTGAGAGACTTGAGGGTGGTTCATCCTGCACACGGTTTGAAGGAAACCAACAGACTAGCTGTGTTATCAAGGAGCTCGGTGAAGGAACTGGCAACGGAGCGAAGCAGCGGCCAGCCCGGGCAGAGCTAATAAAACGCGCTCTGATGCTTTGCATGGCCCAACAGTGAGCGGGACAGCGCGACAGGAGGCCAAGTGGGATGCGAAGGTAAGGAGGTGAGGTTGGGAAGGAAGAAGAACCAGTAAGGAAAGGCTTGAAGGCGATGACCTGCGCGGCTGCAGAACGAACCGCGGTAGGCGATGGTGGAAGCAACAGTGGCTCCGCATCCAGCCCAGGTCACGGCAAAGTGCAGGAGACCTCGCACACGGGCAGTTTTAGGGGTTTTTGTTTTTTTGCGGAACCGGGGATTGAACTCAGGCCCGTGCGCTTGCCAGGGAAGCGCTTATCCCACTGAGCCAGCTCCCCAGCCCCTCGGACACTGTTAATGTGGCGGTGCATTGCTTGCTTCAGCAGCACATACGCTAAAACTGGCAGGTGTGGCGTGGTCCCAGCACCCAAGAGGCTGAGGCAGGAGGATCCCCTCAAGTTTGAGGCCAACCAGGGCTACATATAGTACCAGGCCAGCCTGAACTACACAGTAAGACCCTTTCTAAAACTAAAAGCAAAACAGTTAACAAAACACTGTGAAGCCTTTGGCTTTAGGGTAGGGAACACTTAAAGAATGAAAAAGCATTTTTAAAAAAAGCAAATTTGATGTCAGACAGCAAGCATCAAAGGACAAAAGAGTTAAACAACGTAGCCTCGGGAGTGCCCTGAGGTAATTTCTAGGCTGTAGTGTATACAGGGCGAACTCAGAACAGCCACGAGGTCTGCTGAGCTCAAGGACAGAACCGGGCATTTGGGCCGGGCTGACAGCGAACCGCAGAAAATGCCCTTCACGGAGAGGAGAGCTCCGGCAAGGCAGAGGGCGCCACGGAAGCCTTCCCGAGCACTGCTGCGCGCCCGCAAAGGCGGAGGTAGCCGAGAGCAGGCGGAAGGGAGAGACTTCAGGAGAATAAGCGCTTGCCTGGCAAGCGCAAGGTCCCGAGTTCAATCCCCAGTATCGCCAAACCACGGCAGAAAGCGAAGCTCACGCAGGGCTGGAAACAGCTGGCGCTCCCAAGCAGGGAGGAAAGGCTCTGGGAAGGCGGCAGCAGCGGCGACGCGCCTCGGCCCCTCGGCCTACCAGAGCTTCCGAGCCAGCAGGGGCCGGTACTGACGGTGTTTCAAAAACCAAAGCTCACGAACATTTAAATGATTACAAAAAGAATACACACACGACCAAACACCCAACAAGGTAAACACCACAGCCATAATATTCGCAGCATGTTTACATGTTACAACAAGGAAAATGTAGCCTCAGATCCAGAAATCAAAACCCCCAAATGAGCCGGGTTTTAGGTCCTTGTTTACTACTTTGATGACAAATATATTTACTATGTGAGACAAGGCAGAGAAAAAAGGTGTATTAGGAAAGGTGTGTAAGCTATTTTTTAGAAGACCAAAATCAGTGTTTTATAGGTAAAAATCAGATAGGATTCAAATCAGTACAAGACTCAGCTAAAGAAACTAAAGGTACAATGCAAGACACGAGACAAAGTTAAAAAGGAGACCAGAAGAAGTGACATCAGTGAGAAAAAGATTTAACTTTAAGCAGCTTAACACATATGTAAATTCAGGTTCGAGGAAAAGGACCGAATATAAATAATTATTTAAGGAATGTCATATTTCCTACTATGACAAAGTAAAAATATAAAATATGTAAGTTACAAGTCCATAATTTCAATAAGTCTAATAAACCATAAAAAAGACAAAAGCCCATGACAAAAACCATTCTAATACACATTTACACAAATTCTGTGGTAAAGATAAAAATCTTATGAGTAAAAAAAAAGAATCAAATGATAAAAATGAGGCAAGCAAGAGAACCCAATCCAGGAAGCAAGGAAACCGCTCCATCTTTACACCTACACTGTTCAGCCAGCCAAAGTACTTGTATAAGTCAGGTTCCAAAACTACTTCTGCTCAGAGTGGGCCTGTGCACCTTGCTAAAAGGATTCCAGGTTATCTTCAAAGCAAATTTGCAAAGAAAATGGACTGTAAATGACAAAACTTAAGATATACTTCCTTTCTGACAAGAATGGATCATGCTAAGGGGAGGGAAAGCCATATACCTAATAAGACTGTCCTATAAGAACAGAAGTATCAGAACCTTGTTCAAAAAGCAAAGGACGTCAACTTAGACTAGGGTGGTGGCAGGGGGATAAAGAGTGGACTGACTAGAACATCTGGAAGAGATCCAAAGACTTGGGGTGACTGGATGTGCGGTATGGAGGAGGAGCCAAGTGATTCCCAGGTTCTGAAATGATCAACTCCATCTGCATTGGATTTTTACCCAGTCAAAAAATAATTTAACTACACACCAGCAAATGGGTAGGAAAGAAACTCAGAAGAGTACCTGCTGGAATTCATGGTGCAAAAGTAGCAGATCAAAAGAGAACAGCTTTACTTTGGCAAGACGTCAGCTTTCTTCATGTGAAATCTGCACTGAGCTCAATCTTGGATTTGAGGCAGCTGCCGCTGCTCTTGGGGAAAATCATAAAACCAAGTTTCTCTAAGTCATGAGTTCAGACACTGAAACAGCACTAAAAAATAGTTCTTTCTACAGATACATTACTGTGATAAGCTTTTACTATTTAAAAAGTTGTATTTGCCACGTAGCATTTAGAATGGCTCCATGTTTTTGATGATTCACTTCAATCAGCAACCTTGCTTATGTTTTTATCTTCAGGGTTAAGAATCTTATCAGTGAAATTTTTAAGGGACTTTATTTTTGATACAGGGTCTCACTACACAGTCTGGACTCATAGTGATCCTCCTGTTGCAGCCTCCCCAGTGCTGGGATCACACGTGTATGCCACGGCGTGCGCAAGGTTTCCAAGCATTAGGTACAGGGGCTCGAACTTGGGACCTTGTGCCTGCACTTATGCCACCGAGCTATCTCAACCCAAGGGACTTTAATAATAACATGTTTATTGACTAAATGCTACATACTTTACACTCAGTACTAGGTACCTTATAGGATAATCTCAACCTTAACAACCTTATTAAGTAGTTATTATCCTTTTAAAAAAGTGAAGACATTGAGATGAAAGGATGTTCATTTGTCCCAGATTATGACACTAGTAAGGGGCAAGGCCAAGGCTTCTCAATTCCTAGCTTTAAAAATGTACATTTAAGCCACACAAATATTTCTGCATATAGAATATGTACTACCAATATACTGGTAATTGAACACATGCTTTACAGTAATAACCAGGCTTCACAAAATCTTATAATTAAAATGTTCAGACTTTCAAGAGGTTCTTGAGCCTCAAGATGTTCTTCAAAGCAGGTAACTAAGCGGGAACGCTGGAGTTGCCATTAGCATATATACATGTATGCAAATAGGAGATGCTGATGAGAGAACCTACACCATCAAAGGCCCCGTGGCTCGGATTAGACACCGAGGACCTGAAATGGTCCTGAGGGTTGCATACATTAAGTTCCATGACAGACAGATAAAACAATATATTAACATGGAAACTATGTCATACGATGAGCATACAATAAATACATACTTCAAATTTCTCTGGTTGAGTTACTGAGGATATTACATGCATGATAACAACTTTACTTATTAGCGTTAACTCAAAAGTCAAGCTAATTAAAGATTTTTCCCCAGATGAACAGAAAATGACAACTTAAAAATATTTTTCTCCCTTCAGCCAAAATAAAGATGCCTAGAAACTAAAACTCTCCAGTAAAGGTTTTTATTTGGATTCCACCTAAAATAGTTTGACTCTCTTTGATAGAGAAAAGAAATCTCCAATATTATAGACTGTAATAGAAAAGTACTGAATTTCCGTATTTCCAGTAAAAAGGTGTTTGTTTCATGCTTTGGGCATCTACCATATTTACCCAGAAAGACCTTCCATACATGTAACTGCCACAGCATTAACGTGCCCAGAATAGGCTTCCTTAGAAAACTGCTCCTGTGTTCCTGTAACAGTCTCTGGTCTGCAACTCTGCACAGTTTGAAAACCAGGTTTGTAACATGCACAGCCTGGAGCGAAAGGCGCGGCCCTCGGCGCCACCACGCATGCGCACGCGTGGCCAGGGGCTCAGCCCGGCCGCTCCTTCCTCGGGGGGTCGGCGCCGATGCAGCGGGGTGGGGTGCAGGTCGGGCTCGGCTTAGGACTTAATTTTCCACAGCTAGGAAAAACAACAAGGAAGTTACTTTTAAGACAGGTAGATAGGATTTAAAGGTATATTCACTGACTATGAACCAAAAACCCTTCCCATAAGAAAAACGTAGACTATCATGGAGAAAAACTTCCAGGCTCACAAGCGACCCGCTGCGCCTCCTGTTACTGGCTTCCGTTCCTTCTCCCTGTGTGTACCACCTTATACCTCCCTAGGCAAGCGAGAGCCTGCCCAGCGCGAGGTACCCACCCAAAATGCAAACTTGATCTTTCTGTTCACTGAGTCTACGGCACGTGGGTAGAACAACGAAGCCCGCTTCCCAGCACCCCGCTTCCCAGCACCCTGCTGCTCTACGCGGCCTTCCCCGCCCGCCAGCCCACACAACGTGCAAAAGGCAGATTACTGCGCAGTCCTTTTAGGTCTGAGCCGCTCCTGTGGCAATCACACTTACTCTTATATTAAATCCTAAAAGATCACTTATAACTCCTGAGACAGCAGAAAGAATAACCACTCTTGTGATGTTGTAGATTAAGGGATTCATTGTCAGTCCGTAGAGTCTAAATGGCGTGTCCAGCTCCTACAAAAACATGAAAGAACTAAAATGAGTCATAATTTTTCAGTTTTTCAAAAGTTATCAGTAATTTCTTGCTGTTTTTTCAATTTTGGGTGAAGACGACTGTCTAAGGCTCTCTTTCCTTAACATTCCAGAACTACCTTGGAACACTCCAGAATAAATCCGGAGCTGCTCTTCCATGCCATTTGTTATTTTACTTTTGCAGTGTTAGGCACTGAACCCTGGGCCTCGTGCAAGCTACATCCTTAGCCCTGTATTTTTTAGAGACAGCATCTTGCTAAGTTACCTAGGCTACAGTCAAACTTGGGCTGCTCCTGTCTCAGCCTCTCAGTCTACTGGTATTCTGTCACTTGTGGCATAGGACCAACACTTTTTTAACTTGAACAATCATTTATGGTTTCAAATAAAAGCAATATAAAAAATGTGACCAACATCAGCACTCTTCAGAACCTGGATAACAAAAAGGAAATTTTTTTCCTAGAAAGTTATTAACCACAAACCATCCTGTTGGTATTTTGAGTCTATACAGCCTGGTATCTAGGTGTTATAAGGTCTTCTAAGACGCAAAGCATTGATTTGCTTAATAAAAAATGAGATTAGTTCACTTTCTTTTTCTTGTATAAAAACACGACGTGGGGCCATGTGGGTACCTGAGCCCCTGCGAGGAATACCAGGAATACCGGGTGGGCGCACAGGCCCTGGTCAGTAAGTTCCTAACAGCACCCTCAAAAGCACTGTCCTTCCAGAGAAGAAATGAGACAGCTGCAGGTTTTAGCAACAGCATCAACATGGCCTTGGTGACACGCCGTCGAGTGTTGGTGGACACCAGCCCTGGCAGCAGCTTCTGGGCTCAGGGACCTGGACCACGCTGGTGGCTCTGGGAATGGGGAGGCAGCCACCGACACAGAGCTGCGGCAGCCAGTGACCTGGGCTGTCCCAGGAGGCCTGCCCAGCTCCTTCCTGCACACAGTGGTGAGGCAACCACCATAACGGTCCCTAGGCCACTCCCCAGAGGGCAAACCCCGGGACCCACACAACCAGCATGGTCTCTGGGGGCAGCACAGCTGGTCTTTACACAGGCAAAAGCTCTCCTAGAGGAACGGCCCCATGAAAACGCCAGCGCTCTCGGACTTCCTGGTGGCCAGGAAAGAGGCAGCTCCCCACCAGGAAATTGCCCATGCCACCCACCCGCTCGGTTCTGGCCCCGAAGGCCTTGGCCCCAGTCTCCCCCAGGGCCTCCTGCCCCGTGGGCACCATCCAGGATTTGCTCTTTGCTCAGAGAAGAAGCGAATTCAGTTGGTAGTAAAAGTATATTGTTAGCTATCACTTACTTTTAACAACTTGGTGGACAGTTTTAATACATTGTTTACTAGTGTGAGCTGTTCTTTCTTATTTGGCTTTTTTTCCATTTTAAGATATAAGTTAATCTAAGGGAAAAATAGAAAGATAAATTTCACAGAAAAAAAGATACACACATGTACTGCACAAAATCCACCAAATGCTAAGGATCATGTTTTAGGTAAATTTTGAACTTCCAGCAGCTTATTCTGTAAAGATGTCAGATACCCTAGTTCCCATCCTTAATCAACTACCCTTATAAAATAAAAGCTACTTAGTAAAGAAAAATAAAAGTAATGAATCAGTTCAAACATCAAAATAAATTTTAAAATTTGACTTACAATGTAATAATTTTAGCAGATAAACTCCTTGATTCAAAAACTGTATTATTTAGGGGCCGGGAAGATGGCTCAGTAGAATAATTGCTTCCCTGGCAAGCACAAGGGTCTGTGTTCAATCCCCAGTTCCGCAAAAAAAAACAAAAACAAAAACAAACCAAAAGAAAAATACCTGTATTTATCTCAGTGCCCCAAATAATCCAATATCTTCAATTAAACACTTATAGAAATTAAGAAGATAGCTGCTTCTAAATAAGAAATTTTTCCCATTATAGAAAGAACCCTCCACTGTAATTTTAAGGATTAAAAAAGAGAGATTCCAAGGGTTCTTAAAAGGTTTATGGGTCAACTCAAAATTACAATCAAAATTTTAAAAAATTACCTTATGGACTCTGTATTTATGAGAAACGTTTCTCAAGGCTGGGTGTTGTGCATCCCCATAACCCTAGCCCTTGGGAGGCTGAGGCAGGAGGATGCCAGTGACTCTGAGGCTAGCCTGGTCCTCACAGTAAATTCAAGGCCAGCCTAGACTACATAGTGAGACCCTGTCTCAAAACAAATTAAAGATCTAGTATTGTTCTCAGTGTTAGTATCTACTCATAAAGTAGAGAATATTTTCCAAACAATAGTAATGCATTCTATAGTTAATACAGAAACAAGCAAAATTCAAGAAAAGCCCCCCCAAAAGGAGAAAAACAAGCTTATTACACATATTCTAAGACAAGTATTCTAAAGAGCCAATATTTGATACAGAATGTTAAAAGCAAGCTCCACCACCACCAATCTCATCCTTACAGTACAGGAAACACTTTCCACTCACTAGATCGTGGCTGTCCCTCTCCCGGGGGCAGGTGGGGTGGGTGCTGGGCCCATTACGAGGAGGGAACAATGGCAGAAGAGCACAGGGATGCAGGAGGCCATTCAGCTGGAGCGGGCCTGAACGCTCGGCTTTGAGAACACGCCGCAGATGCCAGCTATAAGCAGGGGCCCCGCCGCCAGGCCCACACGTACCTGCTCTGTAAGTAGTATTGAAACGTTGCTGTATTTCTTATTGGTTTCAGACCCCAGTGAGGCCAAGCGCAGTAAGAAAAGCAGTAAAGCCGTTTCCCAGATCAAAAACTCCCAGTTATAAACATCGTTCAGGAAAGTCTTGTGTCCCTGCAGAACCTAGCAGAGGGCCAAGAAGAGTTCAGTTTATGATGCACCTTAAAAATCATGCAACTACTGCTTCGTTCTATCAATTGAAAAATACTTTTAGGAATTCAATATTTTCACATTCAAAGCATAAGTCCTAATACTCATAAATATCATCTATTTAATTGTGTATTTCTCTACATTTTGCTTCCTTTTCATGAAAGACAGCCAGAGTTTTAAAGTACCAGAAGAGGAAAACACAGTGCGTGAAGCACAATAAACTAAGTGTGTGTCCAGCTGCAGCAGGCGTGATGACCACTGTCTGAAAACTGTACCAGCTTCATCAGGTGCCAAAGCCATGTGGCCCTTCCACTGTGTGACTACGAAGTCCTTAGATCAGTTTTCTGAATCCAAACTACAAGCAGCAGCAGCGGCTACCATTTATTAGATGCCCACGGTGTACCAAGTCTTTGGATAAATGTTTCTGACACAAAACTAAAGAAATTTATTCAAGACAGCCTAATCAAGGCAACTAAATCATTCAGAAATATACAGAGATCTCGGGCAGAAACCCAATGCCACCCAGACGGCACAAGTCCTGAGTCCTTTCCAGCTCCTTCTCCTTAGGAAGCACGCTCTGGCCTCAAGGACCCCCGTGGCCTGCCTTCTCCACAGTCCTCCACCAATATCACAGGTTCTGTGTTCTAATTTCCAAAAGAGAAAATATGTTTCGCTCAGTCCAGCTCAGGTTCAACTCAGCCAACTAGTTATAATCAGGAGCAACAAACAGCCCCAGCAACCCAGGCCCAGCCCGGCCAAGAAGTGCTGGATCAAGCTGCCTACACAGACTGCAAAGATACAATCATATGGCTACAGAGAGTGAAATGCAAAGAAAAATTCTTAAAATAAGCCAAGGGAAAAGGATACAATACAAAAAAAAAAAAAAAGCCACAAGGACACTAAAATATGGAATGTGCCCAAACCAACAGGCAACCTAGAATCCTATTCCCAGTAAACAATGCCTTTGAAGGATCAAAGTGAGACATTTGAAATAAGCAAAACCAGAGACCTTACCACTAGCAGATTGGCACTAAAGTATATACTCAATAAAGAAACAGGAGAAAAAAAAAAGTTTGGGCCGGGGAGATAGCTCAGGAGAATAAGCACTTGCCAAGTGCAAGGTCCTGAGTTCAATCCCTGGTACCGCAAAAACAGAAAGAAAGAAATAGGAGGAAAATAATCTTGGAAAACAAAAAATACAAGAAAGGCAACAAAATGATACACATGTGGGTAAATATAAATGAATGGTTGACTAAAAAAAAAAAAATCACCCTTTGGGGCTTGTGGGGGGGTGGGTATAAAAACAACAAAACAAAAAATAAGTAAATGAGATAAAGTGTTCTGAGACCCTCACATTATCAAGGAGACTATCAGTAACTTAAACCATAAAAGTCAATCATTTTATTACTCAATCTCTTGACATTACTACTAAAATAACAGTAAAAGAATGTAAAACAAGTTAGTGGTGAGGGTTAAATGGAACACTAAGAAATACTTGATTAATAAAAACATGACAAAGCTGGAGGTGATGGCTCCCGCCTGTAATACGTGAGACTGTAATTCGGGAGACTGAGGCAGGAAGATCACTGAGATTTCGAGACTGGCCTGGGCTACAAAGTGAGCTCGAGGCCAGCTGAACTGCAGAGGGAGACCCTGTCTCAAGAAGACAAAATACATAAAAATAAAAACAAGACAAGACAAATGAGAAAAAGGAAAATTAACAAGCAGACCAATCGGGAAACAAACTGCGTTTGTAGTTGCAGCAACTATATTAAGTTTAAATGAACAAGACACTCTAAAATACCAAGACCAGGAGGCTGGCTTAAAAAACAGCCATCAAGAAGGTCATGATGATTATAAGAGACATGCCTAAAACATAAGGAAATAAAAGGGTAAAAATAAAATGCAAAAATAAAAACAGCTGAGCACTAAATGCGACGTGATCCTGAAATGGATCCCACATTCAGAAAACACACACACACACACCCCAAAGGACATGAAAGTCAACCCAAGGTGGGCATAGAGGTGCATATGTATAATCCCAGCTCCTCCGAGGTGAAGGCGGCTAGCCTGGGTAACTTAGCAAGACCCCACCTGTATCTCGAAATAAGAAGGCCGAGAGACACAGCTAAGCAGCACCGCACTTGCACGACACACGAGGCCCTGGATCCAATCCCCAGCATTAAAAAAAAAGACAGTCCCAAGAAGAGAAATAACAGTCCTAAACCCACACAGCCTTGTGGACATAAGCAAAACCTGAAATACATAAAAGGGAAAATCAGTAAACTCAGAATCACAGTAGACTTGAACACACCCTCACTGCTGGTGGACAGAATAAACAGACAAAAAAAGTAAGTGAGGATACAGGTAGCTTCAGTAATGTAACTGAGAAACTTGGATCGGTGAATATGCAGCAAGAACAGCAGAATCAAAGCTCCCAAGTGCTGCTGGAGTACGCGATCACTGGAAATGTGTGCAGTGGAACAGGGAGCCTGGACACAGTGCCAGGCTGAAGAGCAGCCAATGATTTCTACTGCAGCAAGACTGAGCTGAACAAAATAAAGGGGAAAAAGCAAGAGAAGCCTGAGACTCCTTGTAATGAGAGAACAGAAGGACTGAGGACAGAGGACATGGGAAGTGGCATCCCGGGGCTCCCGCTGGCCAAGTCAGCGTAGTAACAGATTATGACCCGTGGGTTAAACATAGCAACGCCTGACCCACGGTGCAGTGAGTGACTGAGAAGGAAAGGACTTAGGACAACAACTCACGTGGAGGGAATGAGGCGCCTGGAAAGTCACTGTTTGGCAATATCAGTCTGGTAGCCTTTATAGAGGTCAAAACTGGCTAACCGAAATTAAACATAAATTCCTAAAGAATTTCACATTTATCTGTATTATCAATTTACATTAGAAAAATTAACAAGTATTCAATATTGCAAAAGAAACATTTTAAAATTTATACTTACACATATTAATTGCCTGGCCTAATCCAGGAAGTTAACCCTGTGACAGAATTTCCACTGAAACCCACAAGCAACATTACCTGGGCACAACAAATGAAAGCAATGGAGAGCGTGAGCAGGAAGACAGAAGACACCACCACGTCCACGGAGCGCTGTGGACCCCGTCTCTGCGGGGAGGACACAGGCGTCAGTGCTTGGGTCCCACTCAAGACAGCAACAGCCCTTCCAGTGAACTCTGAATTTTACTACCACAAAAATAAATGCTTGCAAGTTTCTGACGCAGGACTTTAATATTTCTGATACTCTCGACCCGCAGCCCTGAAGTCCATGCCCTAAGTCGACTGATTTGTATGTATCTCCAGCTCCGTATTTCCCAAGTCAAGAGATGTAATACTTAACACTCTCTGCTACAAACTTAAATTTTCTCTTTCTAAACCTTTTTAAAACTCACTCCTGCAGTTCTGCAGCTATGTCACATCCAACTTGCACAGCCCAACATCCCCTCCAATACCCAGAGCCACCCTGCTCAGCGAGTGACCGCTGCTGCCGACTTCAGTGCTACACATACTCGTACATCCATCCTGCTGTTAAACGAATACAACTCACCTTGAGGTAGGAGCGCAGAGAGAGCCATATTTTAATGTTCTCCACTTTTTTAAGTCTGAAATGAGGTATTTCATATTTCTTTGCTTTTCTGGCAGAAGTAATATGACTGAAGAGTTTTGCAAATAAAAATCTCTAGAGGAGGTTAAAAAAAAAAATCACAAAGGGAAAAGCACATATTGGTCTTTGCATTCATACAACTATTAACAGTATCTCCAGGATTTTCTAAATGTTAAAAAAGAATGAAATTCTTATCAGTAATCACTAAGACAGACGGTGAAGTCTGAGCATCTCCTTGTCCGGCTGCCCGCAAAGCGCGTGCCGTGCGTCATCCTGCTTCACAGAACGGGACACTTGCCACCTGTAAGGAACACACTCTGGAAACCTCGTGAGTCCTCAAGTGCACAAACTCAGATGTCGATCCGTGATTCTTCCGGCTTACTTTCTTTCCTTTTTTTTTCTTTTTGGCTTGCTTTCAAATTCTTTTTCCATACAAAACCACATTTCTTATGCATATCACCAATATAAACATATACTCATCAATCTAGAACTTACCAAATTTCAATAAATTTCTCACGTGACACTCACTTGTCTCTCCCCCCTCTCTCCCTCATATAATGTGAGTAAAAAACAATAAAGCCACACTGAGATGCAAATCCTGAGCAGGAGCTACTGCCACACGCAGGGTTTGGCAGAATTTCAGATTACAGCGTGTAACTTGGAAACACTCAATAACACAAATGGTAACCCCCCAGTTACCAAAATGAAGAGACTAAAAGCAACTCAATGGGATATGATACCAAATGAAGGGAATTCTATTTATTTGTCCACTGACCTGTTTATATGTTCTCTCTGCCACACACATCATAAAAAAGAACATCCAAGTAAGACACAATCTTTCAAAAAAATTAATTATAGACAAAATAACAACAGGTGTAACAGGTGGGGCCCCACAAAAGAGGGTCAAAATCTCCTCAGCCGAGATGGACTTTAGCTGATCAAAGCTCTTCTCCCGGAAAAGTCGATGTAAAAAAGGAAAAAATGCCAATCCGATGGTGACGGCGTTTCCCAGCATCTGATAACCTACTCCTTGCTGGTATGCATTAACCTGGGGATTTAAAATTTTCATCATTACTGCATAAAATGAACATGTGAGAAGCATTTATCAAATGCTACTTGAAATATTAGAAACACATTTTAAACAAAGTACAAATAAAAATAACATGCAAAACTGAGCAAAGAGCGCAGGGGTAAGCCATGCCCTCAGCACGCAGTGTCCGAGGTTCAATACCCAATGCCAAGGGAGAAGAACAGCTACGGCCTTACGACTTCCTACGGCTCATGCCAAGCTAAGGTAAGAGCTGTTTATACCTGAACAAGATCATGCTAACAGAGACTGTGTGCAGCAAACCAAAAAAACACTGCCAAATCAAGACTGTGCCTACAAAATTTAAAATATGTATCTGAGTTTCAAAAAGAGGCGTGAGACTGGGAGCACAGCCCAGTGGTAACAAGACTGCCGAGAACTGGATTCAATCCCCGGCCCAGCAAAAAGGAAAAGCGCGGTCAGCACGGTTTCCATCGCCGATCAGACCGCTGTCTGAGGGCTCCGGATCAGCAAGTGGATTCGCTTAGGCACCCCGAGCTCTGCGGCTCGCTCACCCGGCTCATGATGATGCCGCTGATCTCCAGCACAGACATGTCTGTCTTCTTGCACTCGTTTCCTTCCCAGATTATTGCACTAACTCGATCAGAGGCAGGACTGGAGTTCTGAAGCCAGAATAAATGGTTCTGGAGAGAGAAGCACCAAGCGGTGTCATCGCGGCTTCCTTCCCCACTCGCTTTCCCGCCTCTCCTGCCAGCTCCCAGGCTGTATGCGCCAGTGTTCAGCAATTCCCTCTCACGCAAAGCTCAGCACTGCAGAGCCACGTCTAACGTGGAGCTCGAGGCTTTTGTCCTGCACCGAGACAGGCTGAGCGTCCTCCTGTAATAACGAGCGGCAGGTTGCCGTGACGGCTGACCACTGCTCACCTGGTTAAGGCCATGGAAGGAAGACGAAGAGTCCAGGCTACTAAGGAAGAAAGTGTCTCTGGAGTAACAAGCCTACACAGTGCAGAAATCCCCTGCTTACCAACACTCAAGCTGTGACCCTTCCCCCATATGAACGACCTCCTGTTGTGAGCACTCACAGCTGCGGAAGTCGCTCGCGTGTCTGCGGACACCGTCACCGCTGCACTGCTGAGTGCTCACTGCTCAGCGCGGGGTGCAGGCGGCCGGGGCTCAGTCGGAGCCCAGGATGCCCGGAAGCCGGGAAGCTGCGCGCTGCGCTGGGCCTACACTGCATTTGCGCGCATGGAATGTTCCAGTCGCCCTCGGAGCATTCTCCGAATGGAACTCGTTCCTGAGTCAAGGGCTTCACGCAGCAGGAAACAGTCGGAGAGGTGCAGAGGCCACAGCGGCCACACGAATGAGAAGCTAAGTCGTTCTCTGCTCTGAGAAGGGCACAGTCGAGCTCAAGGGAACACAGAGTGGAAGCAGCCCGTCCTCCAGAGCACAGCCTGTTCCTTAAGTACCCAGCCAGTGCTGTTTCCCACATGGTCCCCTCAACAGCCACATACTTCACAAATTTTGCTCTTCTAAAAACCCTGTATCAGAGCCAGCCAAATAGCTCAGCGGATTAAAGTGCCTGCAAGCAGGCTTAGGGGCTGGGGGTTCAATCCCCAGGCCTGCCATGCTGGCCTCGCCCCTGGGGCACACTGAGCCGGTGACTGAAACTGGGGCGTGGTGGCACACGCCTGTAATCCCAGCTCTTGGGAGGCTGTACACAGGCAAATCACTACGAGTCGACCTAGTAGTGAGACCCTGAACACCCTGTAGACCCTTTCCTAAAACACAAAAAATAAACACCCTGCATCAGACAAGTCAGCATCTAATTATACAGCGTATGGACTGTGGCTTCCACTTAGGTTCTACATAACCACAGTTTCTAGAAAAGGACCCCGTGGCGCACTTCTCTGTCCATCACAACATTCAGCATAATACTCATGAACACTTACTGACTTTGTTCACTGGTTCACTGATTTACCCAAGAAGGATTTCTGAAGAATCTCCCACGCACCATGTAGCATGTGGCATGCGATGTAACATGCGCCGCAGGTGCAATGGATAACAAGATACAAGACCCTGCTAACAGGGAGTTTAGACATCATTAAATAAAGTTCCTCTACAACATGGTAAAGAGACAAAGAGGGCTTCAGTGTCCCGAGGACAGGTTTTCTGAAAGAATAAATCACTCCAGCGAAGGCCTGCTTTAAATATAAGAGGAAGTAAGCCAAGGGATAGATATGAGAGAAAAGTATGTCCCGGGCAAAGAAACCAGCATGTGGAAAGGGCCAGAGGCACACGGGACATATAAATCAAACAGGAAGGAAGGAACGGAAGGAACTGCAGGTTCAGCTGGGTCAGACCGCGCCACGTGAGGAGCAGGGACGTGATGGTCAGAGACGTGAAGTCTGCTAGAGTAAATGAAGCTACAGAAGCAAATAGCCCCAAAGAAGGGGATTTTAAGGACAACGGCATTATCTGATTTGAACTTTGGAAATATCACTCTAGCTGTAATGAGAAAAGTGAAAACAGGCAAGCCCAGAGAAGCTGCTGTAACCATCCAGTCTGGCTGAGGAGACTGGAGGCTCAGGGATGGTCACACTCGTGACAGCAGAGAGAGAGGAGACACAAAACAGCAAAGGGCTGGGGCGGGGGTACCTGGGAATGGTCAGTCCCACTTGCATGGTGAGTACACCTGCCCTAGTCATTCTTAGATGTTTTAAAAGCACACTATATGCCTGGCAAGCACAAGAGCCTGAGTTCAATCCCCGGTTCCATGGGGAAAAAAGCACATTATAAATAGCAAAAGTACCAGGCAGGACTGGGGGGACAGCTCAGTGGTCTAAGCGCCTGCCTGGCAAGCGCAAGGATCCGGGTTCGATCCCCGCTACCACATGCTGTGCTGGCCCCGGGCACCGAGCCAGCCACTGAAACTGGGCATAGTGGCACACACTTATAATCCCAGTGCTAGGGAGGCTGAGACAGGAGCATCACTATGAGTCCAAGCTGCATAGTACAACCCTGTCCCAAACACATAAAAGGTTTTAAAAAAAAGCACCCAGCAGCTCAAGATCACTGCTGTGCTCTGGGCAACACTAGGACTCGTCAGACTGAACATGAGGAATATCGAAATTCAAATTCTAATAGTAAAATTGGAGAAAACAAAACTTTAATGAGACAATGTCTACTGTTTCTGGTTTTTAAAAAATCATATAGATGTAATGAAATGGGTTTTTCCCTCATAAAAATGTGTAACTTCACTGTATCTTAGAATCAAAATGCAGTAATTAAACAAATGCTTATCCATCGTTCCTTATTATTTACGAGGCCACATGAACATATTTAAGCTAAAAACCAAAGAAGCAAAGAAGGACCATGAGCACTGTCATCAGACGTCTCCAGAGCTGACACAACCAGCACGCAGCTCCACGCGCTCCAGCCACAGCAGAGGCTCAGCGCTGCTCAGCGAGCGGCAGGCAGGACTAACAGAACTCTGCCAGCCACTGTCACCTCAGCCACCTCACAATATTCCTCAGAAGAACACTATTACCATGGACAGATGGCAAATTTCATACACACAATGAAGGCCTAACCTGGCTCTAAGGGATCAAATTCCTTCTATAGACTCTCCAATTCTAGACTGATTTTATATTAATATAAAACCTAAAACTAAAAGCACCACTTGATTAGATTATTAGAGAAGTAAACAATGTCATTTTTATGAGTATATAAGGCAGATGAATCAATCATATAAGCCTGCTCATATAAAATAGCATTCAAGACCACTCTTGGGGCTGGGGAGATAGCTCAGTAGAATAAGTGCAAGGTCCTGAGTTCAATTCCCAGTTCCACAAAAAAAAAACAAAAAAAAACACTCTCACAGCTGGGTATGGTGCAACACGCCTACAATCCCAGCACTCCGGGACCCTGAGGCAGGAAGACTCCAAGTTGAAGCCCAGCCTGCACAATTCAGTAAGTTAGCAAGACCTGCTCTAAAATATACAATTAAAACTGGGCTAAGGACCAGGGAGATAGCTCAGCGGTCTAAGCGCCTGACTGGCAAGCACAAGAACCTGGGTTCGATCCCAGTACCACACAGTCCTGCACCGTACCAGCCACCAAGACCAGGCATGGTGGTGCATGCCTGTAATCCCAGCTCTGAGGAGGTTAAAACAGGAGGATCATTATGCGTCAAGCTGGGTAGTGAGAGCCTGTACCAAATGCATAAATTAGAAAAAAAAAGGGGGGGTGAGAGGCTAAGGATGTAGCTAGATGCCAAGGCACTGAGTTCAATCTCCATTACTGAGGGAAAAAAAAAAAAAAAAATCACTCTCATTAGTTTCAATAGGAAAGAGTATTAGGAAGAAAAGCTTAAGTGAGGCCAAGTGCATGGTATTCTTGAGTTCTCGTCCCAGCATTTTCACTTACAAGCTGTGCTCAATTTCCCATCTCAAAATTGAGAATAATGACATTTTTATTATTTTTGCAAAGTAAAATGAGCTAACACAGTGCCTGACATGAACACATAATAAATACCAGCCATTCTGATCATTTCCTGCACAGACCTGCTGAAAAACATCTTCCTTGGGGTCGCGTTTGGACCCCGAGTGCACAGCGCTCACGTGGGCCCCCTCGCTGTCGCTGGTGCCCGAGGACCGGCACTCGGGCCCGTGCAGCAGGTCGTCCCAGAGCATGTCCTCAGTCTCCGAGTCGGGGCGGGTGCTTTCCGAGTCTCTTCTCGACAGGTTGAGGCTTCGGGAGCCACCACTCGTGCCAGATCTGGAGCCCTTAAAGGAAAAGCTTCAGAAATTGGTTTTTATTCATTTTTAATTACATACCTGAAATAAAATTAAAACAATTACCTATAGCAACGACTAGTGAAAGTTTCCCAAGCTGATCATCATGTCATTTACTCACAGGTTTCATAGAATAATAACACCAATAATAGTACATTTTAAGATTCAAATGTTGAACTCTGATGATCTTAGCAAGCAAGATTTTAAAATTACTCCAAGAAGTTATCACCAAGTCATGGGATTACTCAGGTCCGGATTCTGAGATAGAAGCGATTCCTGTAAGCACACCCACAGCACCCGCTCAGCTAGCCCAGCTGAGCCTTTTGGAACACCGTGCTCCCTACGTAAATACTGTGGTCCTGACGGTGGAGCTGGTGGTGACCGGGGCCTGGCAGCGCCACGCTGAGGGATACTCAGCAAGCAGAAGCGCAGCCAATGCGGTTCCCCTGCACGCAGACACAAACTTGAAGGTACTTCCCTGACTCCAACCGCCTGGGCAAGCAAAGCAAAACTAAAGCCACACCAGCACCCACTGCTCACTACGAATGACCACATTTCAGATATGCCCTTCAGCTTGAGATGAGATTCTATTACCGTTCTCACCTTTCAGAGGACCCCCTCAGCAGTATGAGCCCCACTTAGGATATTTAAACTCTACAGTCCAAGAGAATATTAAGCAAGCACACTGCCTCTGAGCATCACCTATAACACTTTTATGATTAAAACAAAACTGAAAAGGAATTTACTCTTCTAGGTATAAGAAGTCATCTAACAGCACCTAAATTTGGAGGCAGATAAGTGGAGATAAGGGAAGTGTGGGACTAGGTTAGGGCAGCTGGGAAAAGAGGAGTGGGTGAAATTATGACACTTTAGAATGCACTTCAAACACTGATTTCTCGAGAAGATTATTTACCTGGCTAAAAGCTGCTGACTCAAATTCCGATTCGGCCACACTATCTGAATCCCGTATTACCTGACACCATTTTGTAGGGGTTTTCTTTACCTGCCAAAAATTAAGCCAAGAAACAATAGGAAGACATGTTAAACACCCTGCTACTAAGAAAAAAGAAAAAAAAAAAAAAAAAAAAGCTCTGCTACTACTGAATAATTTAATGACCTAAATTGAATCTCCGAATGATTTATCTTTTGTAAGCTGAAACAAAAATTACCTGAGAGTTTAGGTGCCTTGAAAGTATTGACTTTCTATTCTTTACTTCACAGCTATTGTCACTCGAGGCCCCTTCCACACTCCTTCGCAACAGTATCATCTGTGTCCGCGCCTCACCATCTTCCTCGCTGGACAGGTCATCTGAAACCCCATTACCCAAACGCCTGTAAGCCTCCTACAAAGAGAACAGCAACACCTTCACAGGGACACCCCAAAATACCCTGGTAAACTGCATATATAAAAATTAAAGCAAAAGCTACCAGTAGAAGTGAACTACATCAAAACTAAACAAACATATATGTTATTTGATCTTAATATTAAAAAAAAAAATCAAAATTAACAAAACTAAGAACTTCAGGCTGGAACAGGCCTGAGTCAAACTCTAGGCCTGAGTCACAACCCCTTCTACTCTCCAGCTATGAAACGTTAAATGTTCTAAATCTTCCTGGGATTCAGTTTCCCCATATAAAAGCAGTGACAATAAAAACACCTGTCACGCAAAGCTGTGGAAAACAGAAGTTAGTGTATGGACAGCACTTAGAATGATACTCAATAAACATCAGCGGTAGCAACGGCTTGATGAATACTAGACTAAAAGCCACAGTCTAACAACAGCTCAAGACTGTAAGGTACAGTCGGAAACACAGAATAGAGCATCTCCCCCAATTTTAAAAAAATTCCCAACCCCTAACTCTACTCCCACTCCCTCCCTGGAATAAGGCACAGCGGTCCCTATGCTAACGCGTTCGCAGGCCGGGCTGACTGGATCAACAGCTGAGTAGCAAGTTTTAGTCACAGAATAAACTCCAATCTCCAGGTATTTTCTTTTTTCATAACCTGTGGTTTTACTTATTTATTAAGTCAAACTTACATCACATTAGTATCTGTTTTGTATCTCTTAGCAGAACCTAAGGATAGAAAAAATTTGCATATGAAAGGAAAGGTGTTTTTTTTTTTTTTTAATACCCATCTAAATCTTACCCTATGGCCCTTTTCTCCATCTGAAAATTTTGCTTTTTCTCTCGTTTGCCACATTCTCAAATCTGGTCGACACTGCTTTTTCTTAATGACAGGATGGAGACAACCAGAGTCGTCAGTTTCAGTCCCTTTGTTAGACAGCAACTTTACCTTTTTAATCCTGTTTTTAAAAAAGAGGGGGGAGAAAGGTTACTAATTACTTCTCAGAGAAAAACACTTTTCAGGAAATCACTTTCTTCTGAAGAGTACAATATATTATTTTGGAAATCAAGAAAAATCAAATTATATATTTAGGCCTCTAGCTTGCCAAGGGGAATTTGAGGGACAGCATAGGCAACCAGAGAGCCTCACAGACCATGTGATTATCCGTGTCCACGAGGAGACACATGGTCTTGCGAGTTCTGTGAGGGCACAGACCAACGGTCCCATCCACTCTCGCTCAAGCTCAGCGGCAGCCCTGACTTCGCGGTGCCCGTCAGAGGCACGTGACAGGTGTCCTCCCCGGACAGTGGCCGCGCTGCGAGGCCAACACCGCTCATCCTCCATCTCTGCGGCCAACCACGTTCCCACAAGCTCGGCCTCTCTCTGCTGAGCAGCGTGGCCATGTAATCATTCACTGTATTCTGGCTGCTGTGCTGAGCCATGCCTGCTACCCTCCGGTTCCTACCACGGCGCGACATCACTCAGGACAGCAACTCACCGGGCCCAGCACAAAGAACTGCAATACGTCACTAAAAGGTATAAACTTATGTTTGGAAAACTAAGTGAACACACTTCATCTTCAAAAAGTAACAGAAAAAAATTGTACTTTTAAGTTGCCATCATTAATATAAACAAAATAACCACGTGAGTCATATTAGTGCTGCCCACACCTACAATTACGAAGAGGTACAATTTCTCCTTGATCCACGGTCCTGCTGTCTAGGAGCCCAGCAACCTCAGCCCCTGGCTGCATCCCATCTCTAAAGAGGCCTGGTGCTCACGTCACCATATTCCTGATCTTCATAAAATGCTCCTTTCTATCAAGATGTGAGCCGTTAAGGCTTATCACAGAGTTCATGCTTTTGTAACGCTGGGTCTAAAACCCATTAAAATCAAACAGAATGAAACTTTAATGGCTGATTACTACATTTATAGATATCATGAAAGAGGACCATTTGGAGTAAGCAAATCTTTCTAGAATCCTTAAAAATCATGACAGAATGATGACATGCCCATACTGCCTACTCCCATGGCCCAATGGTATTATATAAACACTTGTAAGTGCTAATGTGAATACAAAAATCAAGTAAACATTCCAAAGTAAAATTCCCACCTGTTGCCAAAGAGAGTCCCCCAAAAACCACCAATAATGGGTGCAGATTCCAAAGTTTCTATTCCTCTGATTTTATCAGAGGAGTTATTACTTCCATTTTCTCGGCTCCCATCACCATTTACAGTTTTTCGTAATTTTCTACAAAAAAATTCATAAACTTCAGATTATTTGAGACCTTTTCTGTAACATCCCTACAGAAAATCATACCAACAGATTAGTCCACGATTCAAGGATAGTTAACTTCATATGCTGAGGATAAATGACACAATTTTAATTTGGGACACAAATAGATTCTAAAGTCCTATGCCATCATTTTATTCAGTCACTAAAAAAATAGGATTTTATCCAGAAACACACTAGAAAAAATTCTCACTTGTGTGACCAACAGTCTTTTCAGGAGCACTCCACACGACAAGCAGAAGCCACTCACTTAACTACAGACATTAAATAGCCACCGCTTGGGCCGGCGAGATAGCTCAGCTGACTCAAGTGCCTGCTTAGGCATGCTTAGGCAAGCCCAGGGACCAAGGCTCAATCCCCAGCGCCACACACCATGCCAGCCCCAACCCCAGGGCAGGCTGATCCAGCCACAAAAAAAAAAAAAAAAAAGAAATCTAACCTTGATCACATCTAATCAGGGCAACACAAAAGTAAATGATCATTTTTTCTTTATGTCCTATGCAGTTAAATGCTGTATGTCAAAAATATCAATGAGATCCTACAGAGCCCTTGCTCCTTCAGGAAACACTAAACCAACTTAACTGGATCTATAATATTTTCAAAATATATTTTGAAAACGGGGGCTAGGTAGTTCAGTGGTAGAGCATTCGCATAGCATGCATAAGCCCTGGGTCAATCCATGCACCACAAAAAGATAGAAAATACGTGAAACTCATTGCAACAAATGGAAAAATCCTACTTAGTTATCCATTAGTGAACCAAAACTAGATATTCCGAAAAAATGCAACTTTCAGAAGATAATACTGAATATTTCAAACCAAGAAATATCAAATAAAAACCACATGAATTTAATTTGTCTTTATTTACTTATGTATTTGGTGGAGAGTCTCACTAGGCATCTTGGACTCGTAGTGATCCTCCCCTCTCAGTCTCCCCAGCGCAGGGATTACAGATATGTGTCACCACGCCCAGTCTCGGTGGCTGATATGGCACGTGGTACCAGGGATCAAACCCGGACATTTGAGCTTGCCAGACAGGCACTTGGATCACTGAGCTATCTCCCCAACCCCAGGAATTTAATTTGTTAAACAGTCAACCAACCTAGAGTAAAACTTTAAACCACTTAGACATCAATTATACACGTTTGGAAAAAGGCAAAATTTTGGTAGCACTAATCCAACGTACCAAGATCCTTGTGGAGAGTGAACTGTCAATTAAGTTTGATTAAGCCTGAATTTCAAAGAAAAGTTTCCTTTGGCAGTGCTGGAAGGAAACCAGGACCTCACACTGTGAGAAAGCGCTTTACCTGCATCTCCAGCCCAAGAACGCGTTTTCACAAATTTAGAGAATAACGTAAGAATTTTCCTTTGAAGCAACTGAATCTTACCTGAGACTACAAGTTAATAAGGTTGTACAATATGAAGGAAAAAGCAGTTTCAGTAAGAAAAAGATTTATAAATGTCTTTAACACCACTTCCCTATGGCACAAAACTAAGACCCGATTTCCCATCTCACCTCCGCCTCCGGCTGCCGTTGCCTCCCGACGGCCGGGTCATCTGCGTCGACACGATCTGACAGTGGACAGTCCCCATGAGCAGCATGAGGCACAGGGGCCCGAGCACCTCACTGACGCTCACGAGGGGCATCATAAGATACAACACGATCGCTAGAACTAGGAGGAAGAGGTTTTAAAATACAAAGCGTGGCTCATCTTCCAAATTGATCCTAGTAGCTATACTAATGTCTAGAGCCTGCTGGTTTAAAAAGAACTTAAATCAGTCCCTAGAATGCCACCCACCTGCACGGCAGCGGAGTAAAACTCCGAAGCTCTCGGCTGCCAAGTGAGCGGAGGGTCCTATGTCGGAAGAGCGTGTCTTGCCTTCCTGGCAGCCTGATAATCTAAATGTTACTGAAGGGCTCGCAGCGCCCAGCACCTCTGGACGCCGCCTCAGATGCACTGTTGAGGCCGGCTCCTGGCAGAGGGGGGCTATGTTCCAAACCCCAGCGTGCAAACCAAGCAGCCGGCAAGCTGGAGCCGGGTGCCGGGCCGCCCTGCAGGCTCCCGGGCCTCCCCTTACCCAGCACGGTACGCTGCTGCTGTGCACTTGTCACGAAATGCTCAAATAAGCAAATGGTGCACGACATGCGAACGACCAGGAACTGCCTCCACGTGTGATCGTACAGATACGTACATCCTTTCAAAGTTTAACACAGTGGCAGTTCTTAAGCCGTATCAACTATTCCTGAATAGGGAGAAAGAAATCTAGCACTAACCCAACATACCAAGATCCTTATTGGTGGTGAATTTTCAACGAATTTTGATTAAGGCTGAATTTCAAAGAGAGGCTTTTTTTTTTAATAGCATGGGAACCAAACCTAGGACTCCAACATACCTACGAAATGGCTGCACCAGAACAAGTAAACTATAAACTTGGCTGGTTTGTGACTACAGATATAAATCCATCCCTAGAAGTGTAAGCGCCACGAAGCCAGCGAATCCCATCTGCTCGTTCACCGGCGAGCCTACATCAGCGCCTGGCCCACAGTAAGCACTCTGGTGGATAGTGGTTGAAATTCAGACTTGACAAAATGAGCTTGATGGTAGAGCAAAAGAACTCGCTAAGGGGACAGGGAGATATCTCAGTGGCTTAAGTACCTGCCTGGCAAGCACAGGGTCCTGAGTTTGATCCCTGGTCCAAAAAAACCACAAGAAAAATTTAAAGTAGAAAATCTATCCAAACCATTTCAGAAGGTGACTGGCCCTGCGCACCAATGCCCTGACAAAACACTGCCCTTAGGTGAGGCGAGGATGCAGCACGGTGACCTAACTGTGCCCGTGTCTTGACCTTGGGCTTCCCAGTCTCTAGAAGTATGAGAAGTAAACTTCGATTATTTATTAGCCACTGCGTCCATTGTGTTTTTGCTACAACTTCCCAAAGGGACTAGGACATTAGGATAGAAAAGTGGAGGAAGCTGCTACAACAAAGAACTACAAGTATGGAAGCGGCTATAGTCAGAGTAATAATGGAGTCTAACAGAAGAGTTCTGAAGAGAGGTCAGGAAGGCCTGATCTCCAGAACCCATTTTGAAAGGAGATGCTCAGGAATCAGAAGGCAAAAGAGGTGAGTTATACAGAAAGTCACGCCTATAATCCCACTTCTTCAGAAGGATCACAAGCTCAAGGCTACCTGAGCAATTTAGCCAGACTTTCTCACAAGAAAAAATAAAAAGGGACAGACATACAATTCAATGCATGGCCTGGAGCTCACCATCAAGAAAAATCTAAAAAGGCAGAGATGGTGCTGCACATCTGTAGCCCCAGCAGAGCAGGGAAGCAGGTAGCAAGTTCGAGCCCACCCTGGGCAACTAACTTAGTCATTTACTGTGAAGTGTCACAAAGTAAAAAACAGAGCTAGAGAAGTCGCTCAGTACAAAGGCTCCAAGTTCAATTCCTAGTGCCATAAAAAAATTAAGGAGGAGGTTAGAGGAGAAGAGGTCAAAGGAGAGGAGGAAGCCACATGTGACAGCACATGCCTGTAATCCCAGCACTCGTGAGCCTGAGGCAGGACGATCCTTGCAAGTTCAAGACCAGCCTGGACTACAAAGTGAGCTCAAGGCCAGAACTTCACAGAGACCCTGTCTCAGAGAGAGACAGAGACAGAGACAGGGAGGGAGGGAGGCAGGGAGAGAGAGGAAAAGGATAAAGAAAAGTGGAAGAGGATGAGGAAGAGGAAGAAAGTAAAAGAAGCTTCAGTCTTTTTAGAAATATGGGGTAAAGCCCACTCTGATGAAGTTTTGGACAGAAATGAAAAATAATGTTACTGGAAACAGAAAAAAAACTTAGAGTGGCAGAGAATGTGGCTGAACCGAGTCTAGTGTTTTGTGGAAGACACAAACGTGCAGATCTTTGATCTTAGACTTCCCAGCCTCCACGACTACCTATGAGAGATAAACCTACTGTTCATAAAATACCCAGGCGATGATATTTTTGTTATGGCAGCTCGGACCTACTAAGACCGAAGAGTGATGGAAGCTGCGATGTTCTTACACGGCAGATTGAGCGGCTATAAAGGAGTGTGCATGGCACATCCACGTGACTGACTGACTGACTGCCAGACAGACTCCCAAAATGAGAGCTCTAGGTAACAGTCTGCCCATATGATGGAGTGTTATGGTGGCATTAAAATGAATTAGAAAGAAAAAATATAATTAAAAATTCAGCAGCCGCAGTACCGGGCAGCACGAGCACGAGACAGGCCCATCATCACAGGGCTCTCACAGGCATCATGAGCACAAGTTTTAAAAATTAAACCGATGAAATTCATACATATATTTTTCTCTCTACAATTTAGGTTTTTCAAAAAAAGATTAAAAAAAAAAAAAAAACACAATCAGCCATAATTCTTTCACCTTACACCAACCTTGTCTTTCTTCCAATGGCCTGCCTACCCAAGGCCTGCCTAGCCAGGTGACATCTGGGCTGAGGTCTTCAATTTGAGGAAAAACAAGATACTTAGAATCGTCATGAATGTTTCAATAAGAAAGAAACCCTCTGTATGAAAAACCTAAGGACAGGGACAGGCATCGTATCTAGAGTGAGCGTGGAGGTAGAGGGTCAAGAAATGAGATTCAGGCTGAGAGGAAGCAGGCAACGGATTACAGAGAGCACCGCAGGCCACAGGAGGCGCTTCACATGTGTACTGTAAAGTCAACAGTAACGACAAAGCTTTTAGTTAGAAAGCTCATACAATAGAGGTCCCACTTTAAAAGGTTTCTCTAATCACTCTGAGAACAACAGTGAGTAGAAAGAAGACTGAGCTGATGTCACTTCAGCAGCCTGGGTGAGAGATCCTAGTTCTCTGGACTGCTGGTGGCAGCAGAAACTGAGGTAAACTCAGAACAGGATCCGGAAGCAGAACTTGAAGACAGGAGCACAGACTGCAGGTGAGAACTGCTGGATGAAATCACTTAATGAAATGGAAAAGAGCTAAGAGAAACCAATTTGTACCAAAAAAAAAAAGATTAAGATGATTTTTGATATGATTAAGTTCAAGACAACTACTAAGTCTCCATATGGGAAAGTCAAGCAACAATTAAATTTAAAACTCTGAAGTGCAATAGAGAAATCTGGCCTAAACATACAAAATTTGGAGTATCAGGGATACAGCTCAGCAGCATAAGCACCTACCTGGCAAGCGCAAGGTTCCGAGTTCAATCCCCGGTACCAGAAAAAAGGAAGGGTGGATTACTGACAATTGTCAGTTACATTTTTTAAAATAGGGCTTGCTAAGAAGAGCAGAAAAAATCCAATCCTGAGGTAATTCAACATGCAAAGGTTAGACAGGAGACACAACTTAACTGAAGAGCTCATGAGAAAGATGAAAAGAAACCAGAAAGGCATTAGAGGACAGCGCCAAACAGTGTACATCATTCCATTTCTTTGTACTGTACTTTTAAATTTTTTTATTTTTTAAAGAGTACAAATTAGAATCATAACAGAAAAAATTACAAGTGATACAGATTTTCACTTAACAAAATAATGTGAATTTGACAATATTTGCTGTAACAGTGTTGTCTTCCAACCAGTTATTCATATTACCAGATATATGCATGTAAAATTGGAAGAAAGAAAGGAATGTATAAGAAATTAAAAAGAAAGAAGAAACAATTGAAAAAAGGAGGGGCCAGGGAGATAGCTCAGTAGAATAAGGGCTGTCTGGCAAGTGTAAGGTCCTGAGTTCAATCCCCAGTACCGGAAAAAAAAACAAAAGAAAAAAGGAGATGAAACAAATTAAAGCATTAACTGCTTCTTTCCATAACCTGCACAGTGCAGTTATCCAAACCAGCCTGCTTCCATACATAGATAAAACTCTTTCCCCACTCCCTCTCCTGTCCTTCTCAACTCAGTAACTCCTTTCGAATGAGTTCATTCCCTTTTACCAGTGTCTACTGTACTGTACTTTAAATCCCTAAACAAAAGGGTAAATTTAAGAATAGGTCTTTATTATCTGAAAACAAAAGCAGCAAGATGAAGCTGTCGTACTTTATCCCCACTCTTCCAATTACCTTGCATGAGGTAAAGCAGTAGCAGCCAAACAAAGATTCTTAAAGAGGTAACCTGAATCCACCAATTGCTGAACAGTGGAAAAAACAGAACGCGAACAAGCCCCTTCCGAGTCAGAGATGTCCATGGGATTTCGGGTTTGGCTTTGGCAAATGTTGAGCCTTTAAATACAAGAAAACACAGTAAGGCGCACACACCGTATTGATGGCCACTTGCAGGACTGCCCTAAAAGGAGGGAGGACAAAAGTGAGCTTATGGCTCGTGCAGTTAGGAACCCTCTTAGGGAGGCACTCCACACAGTAACTTTTCAGCTTGTTGCCCAAGGCAGGAGCTCAAAATAAGTCGGGCTCACAATGTAGTTTTCTAAATTACGTAAGTCCCTACGTTCATCTCCTTTTCTCGTTAAATAAAAACCATACAATTTACATAACCACACAATATTAAGGCAGAGAGAAGAGCTCCCGGAGCCTGAATAGAGACGGAAGAACTGTACCGAGCGCACCACCTCCCAGTAGAGACGTCTCAATGTAAGCGCAGGACCAGGAGGAGGTGACGGAACAGTGCGTGGGAGCAACTCACCTCTGATTAGGTCAACATCAATCAAGTCTGGCTTTATGTGACCCATCTTTTTTGGTTTGTTTTTGAAGCCCTAGAATAAAACAAAATAGAAATAATCACATTAAAAAATCCTTTTAAATATAAAAATAAACTTAAGTTTCTTTTTCTTTATATCTGACTTCTGTTTTCTCAGAGGCATTTTAATCCTAATGTTCCTTAAAGAACTTGTCAGTAATTTATTTCAGTTTTTGGTCTTATCAAGTAATCTGTGCATATACTTTATCATTTTTTAAAATAATCAAGTAATATCAAAGGATTGATAAATAAAGAATAATAGTCCTCTGAGCCATGCCCCTGCCTTTCAATTTGGGTCTTCAAAAGCAAATTCCATCTTGGTTTCAGTTGTTTCTTTGTATTTTATTTCTATACTTGTAAATAATAAGCTTATACTGCTATTTCTTAATTTATTGATTCATCACTACCAGTTCTACTGATTCTTCATACAGTGAACAAGAATGTAAGTTTTGGACCACTAATATCCATATTCTAAGTTCTACAGCCTAAATCCTCACTATATATGCATGCATACATATTTTTAAAAATGTAATATACTGGGAACTGACCCCAGCGCTTTCCCCTGAGCTACACTCCCACCTCCCTCTTCCTTTCACTTGTTATGCTGAGTCAGGGTCTTGCTAGGTCACTGAATTGCCCCGGCCGTGCCTCAGTCTCACAGAGTGCGGACATCAGACATCACCACCACTAAATGATGTGCATAAAATCGGTGTATTGACAAGAGCCCCAAATTAGCTAGGCCTGGGATACATCCCCCAACCTGCAATCCCAGAACTGTAGGAGGTAGAGGCAGGAAAATTCCAAGTTTGAGCCCAATCTGTGGTACTTAGTTAAGTTAGCAATACCCTATTTCTAAATTAATTAACTATTTTTAAAAAATGGTGAGGTAGCTTAGTGCAAAAGCCCTCCGTACCACCATAAAAAAAGAGAGACAGACAGCTTGCAGGCACTTTAATCTGCTGAGCTATTTGGCCGGGCCTCAATACACACAAAAAAACAGACAGACAGACAGACAGACAGACAGACAGACAGACAGACAAAGAAATAGTGCCTCAACTTAGAAAGATCCATCAATAATAACTTGAAATCCCCCATTACCAGCAGAATGGGTAATAATTCTGATATTGTACTGAATAAACTATGTCACATACAACAAACAAATCTCACAAACATGCCGAACAAAAGATGCTACACCAAGAGTGTATTGAGGGCCAGCGAAATAGCTCAGTGGATTAAAGCACCTGCAAGCAGGTGCAGGAACCGGGGTTGGACCCACCGGCCTGCCGTGCCAGCCCTGTCCCTGGGTGCGCTGAGACGGCCATTGAGACTGGGTGTGGTGCGCGCCTGTAATCCCAGCTCTTGGGAGGCTGTAAACAGGCGGATCACTATGAGTCAATCTAGTAATGAGACCCTGAACACCCTGTAGACCCTTCCCTAAAATACAAAAAATAAAAATAAAAAAGCATGTATAGTGTATGATTTCATGTATGTAACCCTCAAAGCAGGCAGAGCCACTGTGTGCTCACGGAGAGGATGTCAGTCACCTGCGCGGGCGTCAGCGCCTGAGGAGAGTCCACTCCACTGCGCATGTTCCGTCCGCTAATCTGGGCGCCTGTGACATGGCTATACTCAGTCTGTGAGAAGGCCTCAAGCGCCACACTTATAATTCTGTTGTGTAAAAGTATATGCACATTTAGCGTGTTTTACTTCAATAACAATTTTTTGAACTTAGAACCTGTGCTTGCTGACTTGGGCCTCAACCATGAAGTCCTCAAGCAGAAATACTGCCTTTTCACTGGTGGACTCACCAAACATTAATACCGAAATGCAGATTTCTGGGGTCATGCAAGTTGCCCAAAAGAATGTATTCCCTTAACATAATTTCAGTGAGAGATTACAGAAGTATGTGGCTAGACTAGCTTTAACTAAAAAGCTATTTTTCAAGCTGGGTGTGGTGGTACAGGCCTGTACTCCCAGCACTCGGGAGGCTGAGGCAGGAGGATTACTACAAGCTCGAGGCCAGCCTGGGCTACACAGTGAACTTGAGGCCAGCCTGAATTACACAGTGATACTCTGTCTTAAAAAAAGGGGGGGAGGGCGGAATAGTTCAGCGGTCTAAAGCGCCTGCTCAGGCAAGCTTAGGCAGGCTCAGGGACCGCAGTTCAACTCCCGGCACACAAGCTGCGACAGCCCTACCCGCAGGGTGGGCTGAGCCAACAAAAAAAAAAATGTTTTTCAAGGTCTCAGCCTTCTATAATTTCAAATTAAAATAGCTATTATTCATTTCTCTTAAGAGATAAATCCACAGACTTCCACAGAATACGCTTCACATCCCTAGGGGTGTAAAGATCCTTAAATTGATCATTAATGTTTCAGAGAAGTGTCACTTACTCAATTTTATTATCATGTAGACAACAGTTCTTACAGAAAAAATTCAGGAACTGACAGTCATGAGAAACTTGCCATATGTTATAAAGTATAAATATGTAAAATTATCATTTATTTCTGTTTAAAACTCCTAGACTGCCTAGCAGTTAAATTACTATTAAATTAAACTTTGAAAGATGAATGTGAACATGTACATACTAATTATTAATCTAGTTTTTAAAATGAGCTAAGTATTAAAACTAATGTAAACATTAAAGGGCACTGTAATTTGCCACTTCCCAATACCAGACACTGAGCCAGGATTTAACTTCAGCTGTAACTGAATAGATGTAGTCAATCAGTTTCTCTCAAGTGAATCCGATGCTTCTAATTCAACTCCACTAGAGCTACAGATTTTATAGAAAAATGTCCTAAATCTCCAAATCATAAAAAAATTTAAATGTAAGCTTAATTTTGAAAAAAACTCTCAAGAAAAGTTACCATTTGAACAAATACACACTAAGTCTTCAAATATTTATAATTCTCCTAGGAATAAAGATGTTATGTTCAAAATCAGAAATTTAAAATGTAAAAGTGCCAGGCATAACACTGCACACTCCTGGTCCTAGCACTCAGGAGGCTGAGGCAGGAGGAGCCCAAGTTCAAGGCCAGCCCGGACTACAAAGTGAGACCATATCTCAAAAACTGCGTATTAGCCAGGCTGTAGCACATGCCTGTAATCGCAGCACTCAGGCGGCTGAGGCAGGAGGATCACCATGAGCTCAAGGCCAGCCTGGGCCACACAGTGAGTCCAAGGCCAGCCTGGAAACACAATAGGACCCTGTCTCAAAACAACTACAATAAATATATACAATATAATATAATGTAAATATATCTGTTATACTCTATTATAAATTGATATCCTTCTGGAGACCTACATCCAAATATTCCAACTAAAGGAGCTTCAAAGTGCTTTGACTTTAAAGCCAAAAAAGATTTCTGTACTGTTTGCTTTCTAGATATTTTACCTATGTTACAAAATTAGGATTCACATTAACTAGTTTGCTCCAAATTCTGCAAGCCTTCTCTAATGAGGGAAACACATTCTCTCAACAAATGATCACCATGCATATTCCACATGCCAGATTTTCTGTGGAGCTTGGTTCGGAGTAATACAGAAATAAAAACCTGGCTCTGTCTTCCAATTCTGTACCACACTGAAGGAAAGACAAGAACGGCACAGGTAAGAGGAACTGCAGTCTCAGGAGTAAGCGCCCGCGCCGCAGCTCCGCTGACATTGTTTTCAAGGGGACAGAAGTTACAAATAAATTTATGACTATAGTTGTAAGAGAGAAGAGGAAAATCACAGTACATTTCTGCATATTTTATACTAGAGAAGAATAAAAACTACATGCCACATCTCTGGTGTAGGGTCCCTTAGCTTTGTCCCATGCATCGCAGAGTTTGTACATACCGAAGAAACAGCACAGGCACTAAAGCACCTTACCTAAAACTTGTTGCGTCCTAACCGCCCTGTGGGGCTGGCCTCTTACTAGCCTCACTGCACTGACGTCACGCCACAGCTCAGAGAGACCCCAACCCAACCATTTTCACTCCCAAGTGTGTGCTCTTGATAACTAGACTATCCTGCCTCTCCTACAGCACAAAACAGATCCCTAACGATTACAGGCGGCTTTGCCCTAGATTAAACAAGCCTGCTTGACTATGAGAGGCTGGTTGGGGTAAACCCCGGGAACTGTGAGCAGATTTCCTGCTCGCCCCAACCTGCACTTCGGCAGCCCAGGGGAGGGCCGAGACAGGCTCCCCCTGCACTAGCGGCCCCGGGAGAGTGTGCAGAGCCCCAGCTGCAGGCGGCACTCAGCCCTCTCTATTGTTAGCTCCCCGCGTTAACTGGACAACACTAACACACATGCTCAGAAGCACCTGACAAAGGAGGTCCCTACTTTTAGAGAGAGGGACAAAAGCACTGCAGGTTTTGAGGTAACAGAGTATCCAAAACGCTAGAGGTATTGCTGCAATACTGCTGGACTCATTTTCTTTTTCATTTGTGTATTTGGTACAGGGTCTCACATGCAACTCCAGCTTGTGGTGACCCTCCTGTTTGCAGCCTTCCCAATGCTGGGATTGCATGCTCCAGCACACCCAGACACTGGGTCAGCTCACCATACCCTGGGGGCAGGGCCGGGTGGGCACTGCATGCGGGACTGGATCAAACCCTGGTCCCTGTGCTTGCCAAACCAGGCGCTTTGTCCACTGACCTATCTTGCTGACCCTCCTGGACTCATTTTTTAAAATTTTATTTATTTGCTACAGGGTCTCGCTACCCAGCTAGACTCTAATGATCCTCCTTGTCTCAGCCTCCCCAGTGCTGGGATTACAGGCATGCACCACCATGCCCAGTTTCGGTGGCTAGCACAGCACACCCAGGGTTCTGCAGCGGACAAAGCACGTCGTACGAGGGATTGAACCTGGGGCCTTGCACTTGCAAGGCAGGCTCTTAGACCACCAAGCTACCTCCCCAGACCTGGACCCACATTTAACCTGGAATAAGACACATCTTTATTTCATAATGTGTTGAAATCTTCATGTTTTCACTTAAAGAGTCACAATGCCATAAAGTGTGGCACA